GAAATTTACTTATTTTACATTTTTTTTTATTTTTTTTATCAACGAATGTTCTGATCTTCCAACCTTTTTTTTATTCCATTTCTATTGTTCTTGAAAATCTAATAGAAGACTTTTAAATTATTGTTCAGTGGTTAGAATCAAACAAACAAACAAATTAAAAACTCAAAATACATCATATTTCTAAGTTGCAATATGCACCCTACCCATTCTTTTCTCTTTTGCTAAATTTAATTTATGGGCAAAAAAGTCCGATGCTAATAAGTGATAAAAATCAAACTAAAGAACGATGAAACTTTCATCGGTGACAATAACTTCTATATTGGTGATAAGTTTCCACAAGTCCCTCAGGCCATAAAATGAAATCACTCGTGAAAGATGTTTTAAATAATTCCTTATAGATTCATTGCAGTAAATATTAGGTACATCCCGATGTACCACTAACAAAATCGTTAATTTTTTTGCAATGGCCGAAAGCTTGACCGGATGGAGGTAGACCACCTTGTAAACAATGCATGAGTCTGATTTAATAAATAAACATGTCAAATGCTACAATTTCCTTGGTAATCTAAGTTTAAGAATTGAGATTTACTGTCCATCCAACGAATGATTGATACATTATTTTACACTCAAACGTCCAACCTTTCTCTCACTATCACTTGTGTTTAAAATTAGGTGACACTTTAATGTAAAATGACGAGTTAATAATTTATTGGTGAATAGCAAATTTTGGACAAGAAATTTCAACTTCAAACTTAGAGTGATACCATTTTCTAGTGGCATAACTCCTTCCCATCAAGTAGAAAGCAGAGCCTACTGTAAAGCAAAATGGATATAATGTCTGGGAAATGCATGAAATTCCTAAAAACCCAATAATCTCAAAAAGGTCGTGTGGACATATTACCAAACAAAAGAGGCCACCTTGGGGTATTTTGTAATTTTACCACCATTAGCCCTGAGTTGGTATAGAAGGTAATGGTCGTAAAAATTCCCACTAATTCCGACGAAAAATAATAGGGTTCCAATATACATAAGGTCCGTTTGAGGTTCTTGAAGTCCTTGAATCAGATAATGAGAGCAAATCATCGTGGTTGAGCAGATTAAGTAAGTGAGAGAAATTGCAATGGCTGCTTAAGTGTCCATCCATCCACTATATTTATGAACAAACAGAACTTATATTAAAATAATAATAATAATAAAAGTATGTACAAAATAATTTAATTTTTAAAAAAGTAAGTCTCGGACTATTTCAATGGTTGTTTGACAAAACTTTTGATTAAAAAAAATTTTCGCATATTTGAATGCATGGTCGTAAAGTTGATAAAAGTTGTAAATCCTATAAAATATTTGATTAAAATTAATTATTGATTTTGATCTTAACTTAACAAAGTTTAAATTGTGGATCTCACATATATGTGTGATTAAAATGAGTCCGAAGAAAGATAAATTTAAAATATGATCAAACAATGACTAAATGTCAGGTCAACAATTTTTACAGTCGAAATTGACAACCCTGGTTGACAACGTCCACACAGAAGGGGAGCCAACGATTTTTTATTCATCGTGAACTCCCTCCAATGTTTGTGATTGTCAAACAGATCTTGACAATACATGAATTGTCAACAAAAATTGTCTAAAATCATTGTACAAATAACTTTATCCAAATTTGAATGAATAAAAAAGAAATAAGAACTTAGGGCAGTAATTAAGTGAAAGTGACAACAATTAAGCAATCACAGTCCCAATATTTGTCCTTTGGTTTCAAAAGATCTAATTTCTTATAGTACTTTGATTTTCATTCTTTGACCACAATAATAAAAAATATGATCATTATTCATCACATCAAATCATCATATCTAATTTTTTATCTCTTGTGCGTGTCTCTTAACAGCTATATTTTTCATTCTCATTTTTAAATCTATGGGAATCAAACGGGGCCATAATATTTTAGTATGTGTTGTGATATATTGAAGGAAGTTGCAAATAAAAATGCCCCCGTTTGGTCTCCATTAAATTAATTTTTTTTTCTATTTTCAATCACACAATCTTCTATGAAATAATATTACACGTAAATCAAAAAAAATTTCTTCTTTTTCAACCATCTATTTTTCAAAAAAATATTATTCCACCCATTTTTATTTGAAAAAATGGGCCAAACGCCCTTACATAATCTTTAAACAATATTTATTATTTAATACTTAACCGCTCTCCCATATTTTGTGCATGGTGCACATGGTTGCCATGCACTATTTATTTTATTAGTCATTAGTATTTTTTATTTAAAAAGAATCAAGAAAGTCACTCAAAAATAATCGATGACTGCATAAAAAAATACAATGCTAGTACATCTGAGAATTTTTAATTGACTACTGGTAAATAGCCCAGGGTTATGGAGAAAAAGAATTAAGATTTTGCCGTTGTCTAAATAAAATTAAATTTTGGTAAATTTTGATAAAAGTTGATAAAATATATAGTTAAAAATTTAATAAAAGTTACGAATACCATAAAATGTGTAGTTAAAATTAATTTGAGAAAAAAAATGAGTTTTGAAAATTGAAAATGCTTTTTTTTTTTTTTTCCCTAAATATTATTTAGTCCGCCTATTTTGATTGACTAAACGACTCTAAAAATTGAAAATCTATCGTTTTATCTTGGGTATCTTCTCCACAATCCTACACTACATTTTGAGGTATTAAGATTTTAGTGATATACAAATTTTTTTTTTACTCAATAAATTATGTAAACTTTTTGACATCTCAAAATTATAGTGAAGATTAAAATTTTAGTAATGAAATAGCCAATCAAAAATGCAAATATTAATAAAATAAAATTGTTACTTTTAAATACATAACATTGGACAGTTTGAAAACTCGATCTATGAAGATGTGAAGTAGTACACGAACCCAATTAATGCATCATAATGTTTCAGATCCGTTGCTTTATAAATTGTACCGTTCTTGTCTCTCTCTCTTAAAAATTTTTGGATAAAGATATATGTACAAAATATTGTACAAAATGTTTGACAAACTCGACAAGTTGTGGCCCCCTATTGGAGGGGCGGTTGTGGGGACAGTCGTCCCTCCAATAGGGGGCCACCACTTATCGAGCTTGTCAAACATTTTGTAGATGGGTTTGTTAATGTAGCATTGTCCAAGAATTTTTATGATAAATCAGAATACTAACTCGGAGAATTTAATGATTTTTAAGAACAAACTATTTTTTACTATACGTATGTCCATTCCCTAGGTCACTCTCTAGATATGGTTGTAGCTATTCCATATTACTTAAGATTGTTGAAAATAATAATAAATGGTGTATATCCGATTTTATTTAATGGTTAAAGCTTCCAATCAAGTTATTCTAACCTAGCATTAGAACAAGCACAAGTTGTTGTCAACAATAATTTAATGAAATAGTGCACGTGAGATATTGATGAAAAGAATGGATGTTACTTACACGTGAAAAGATGTGTTGAAAATAATATTTAAAAAATAATGCTTTCTAACTAGTATAAGTGATATTACAATATTATCGTAAAAATCCTTAAATGATATACTCAATTAAAGGTAGCAAAAGATTTTAATTAATCTTATAACTTACTGTCATTCATGCCATCTAGAATGTAGTACCGCTAGTACTAATTAGCATTACTCATATTTAAATGATATACTTGTGACATTATGCAATTTATGCAATGACTTCATAATGTGCTGAAATATGGCGAAAAGAAATTTCAAAACCTTCCAAGTACGAGTTCCCTTTCGTATGATTCAATAATAGCTTTATATAATAAACCGCGTGCATTATTACTCATTGTAAAGCAAAAACCGGGTAGAAGGGAGGATTATACCAAGATACGGGTCATAAACAATGCAACCAAATCGAATTGAACGTAAAAACTTGTCAAATGCTACAACATAATTACAATGATATTATTCTCTCAGCTTTTGGTGATCCATCACCTAACTATTTAGAATACGTAAGGAATTAGAACCTTTACATGTGTAGGAAAGTCTTCAAACTTAGACTGGTACCATTGCCTAGTGGCACAACTCCTTCCCATCAAGTACAAAGCAGTGCCCAATGTAAAACAAAATGGATATAGCGTTTGGGAAATGCATGAAATCCCTAGAAACCCAATTATCTCAAAAAGATAGTGTGGGCATATGACTAAACTAAAGAGACCACCTTGGGGAATTTTGTAACTTTTGTCACCCTTAGTTCTCAATTTTGAGAGAAGGTAATGGTGGTAGAAATTGCCACTAATTCCCACCAAAAACAATAGAGAACCAACATACTTGAGATCTGTTTGGGGTTCAGGAAGTCCTTGGATTAGATGATGAGAGTAAATCATGGAGGCTGAGTTGATAAAGTAACTGAGAGATATTGCAGTTGCAGCTTCAGTGTCCATCCAACTGCTAAATTTGTGAACAAACAGCACCTACCAACCAAAATAAATATACAAACAAAAGAAAAATTATGAATTAAGATGCAACTAGAATCGTTATGATAATTCAACTGTTCATCAAACGGAGGCGCTAGCCACTTAAGATGCATGAGTGTGAGTATGTGTGCATGAGGGGGAGAGTGGGAAAGTATGACACAAATACATATCTAAACGGAAATAATTTGCAGCTTGCCATAACTTAATTTCAGTTTATAAAACCTTGTAAAGAAGAATTTTCAGGGTCTTTATTGATTGAATTAATTGAAATTTTCACTCCAATGATCCGTAACTCAATCACAGTGGAACAAGTCCATTATCCATAATGTAAGTGCCAAGTTTTGTGAGTGTTTTGGTCAAAACTATGGTCACAAGCCCTTTCTATTTTTGGTGTATTATCACGCTATCCATGATTTCTCTTCAAGTTTCTCCTTCTCACTCATTACAACATATGTAGAGGGGTGGCTATCCCAAAAAAAAAAAAAAAAAAGAGGTTGAACCCCAACCTTGAGGGCCCCCACCGCCTCGTTCCTAGAGTTTTGTGAGGGAGGTAAATCCCGGGATGTGCCCTAACAGGTCAGGGAATAAGAGCTACTTGTACACTATATCTACAAGGAGTCCAATTTCATGTTTCAAGAATCGAACCGCAACACTGCGACTGCCAACAAGACATGAGATAACCCCACTTCTGTTCTTTACACCACTAGGCTATGCCCCGTGGGGCTATATAGAGGGTTATCAAGAGTTATGGAAGGTTGAGGAAAGTTAAAAGATTTTTAACATCTTGCCAATCAGATTTTCTCACGCTCATAATCCATTGTTCAATATAAACAGTAAATTAAAAGGAAGTATGGTCATTTGAAAAAACTTTGATCCCTTCCGAATAGAACTCAATATATTCCAAATAATTTCATTCTTAGCTTTCATTTAATTCTCTTCTTTAACTAATTCTTTAATAAAGATACGACCGTTTGGTTGACATAGCAAACCAATGCCTTAAGCCACTTAACCATACTCAGGGGCGGACACAGAGATTTTGAGTTGGGGGCGCAATCAAATTTTGTATAAATTGAATATTTTGTTCTTGATTTTTGAATGATTTATATTTAACCCGAGAAAATACAGATTTACATTTAAAAAATATTTCTTCATTAATATTTTGCTCATCATTTTCATCTATTTGATTTTGAAAGTCATTTTATTAATATTTTGCTCATCACAAGAAAATGCATATTTATATTTTAAAAAATGGTGTATTTGATACAAACAATCAATTTAAGTAATCGAAAGAAAAAAAACATACAACTAATATTCAATACTAATAATTAGTCAAATAAACACAATTCATTAGATATAAATTAAATTTTAGTACAATCAGTTTAGACACACGCTATATACACAAATAAAATAAGAGAAAATGCAAATTTATGTTATAATTAATTGAAATTTTGTAATATATGTGATAATTATAGAGAAATTATAAAAAAATGTTAAAAAATTAGAAGGATTAAGATTTAAGTAAAAGGTGTAAGAGAGAGAGTAAGATAGAACAATAGAAAAGAGAAAAAATTCAAAATTATTGAAATTTTGCCCTTATTTGGTGGGGATTAAAGTCCGATTTTTAGTAAATTTTGATAAATTTTAAAAAGTTAACGAATCCATGAAATTTATTATTAAAATTAGTTATCAACTTTGATTTAAATTAAAATTTAGATTTCAATCGATACTAAATAGGACTTTATCCCCCCCAAAAAAAAATAATAATAAATAAAAATAAAAAAAATTCTCAAAAGTTGGGGGATCAAGTGACCGCCCCACACCCCTTGGGTCCGCCCGTGGCCATGCCTCCAAATTGTTGATCAGTACATATTCTTTAAATATCATTTTTTTAAATTCATTTTTATATATTCTTCAAATAAAATAAATTTACATTATAAATTTTTCTACTTTTAATCACACTTCTCCAAAATAGTCACCTTTTACAAAATAAATTATAAAAAATCTATATCAAACACGCACTATCTAACTTAACTAAACTACTGGCCCACGGTACGAAATAGTTAGTAAAAAAAATAAAAAGGGTAATTGGCACAAAACGTCTATACCTTTAAGGTTTTTTGTGGAAAACGTCCCCACTTTTCATTTTTTGATATTTTTGCCCTTATTTCCATATTTCTTTGCGAAAAAACGTCATTTTCACCATTTTAATGTAAAA